GACCTCTAAAAAAGTTATGGTAAAATAAAAGATAAATTTAAGGATAAGATAAGTAATTCTCTATTATTTTCTTTCAAACATAAGTGTTTATTGAGTAACCCTAAAGTAAAATAATGCTTACACATTAAAAAAAAAAACAACGACAATTTGGTTTCGCCCTCTACAGTTTTTGTAAATAATTATTCAAGGCATGTTTCACAATAAACTAACTACAATCAAATTTAATAAAACACTTGTGATTCAAAATAAGAAACGATAAGAAAAATATATCTAGCTACATACCTTATTCAAAAATCGGTTATTACCTATTAGTTATTACAGTACGGATTAACCACTTATTTAAAATATAGTTATTTACCCAATATTAATTAAAAACAAAATTTGCGAGTGTTGTTTACGAAAAACTTTAAGATTATGATACAATCAATGTATTGTTCTGCTAAGTGTTTTGTGTTATCAATCGCATGACATGAGAAAAAATTTCATAATAGTAGGCATATCTTGTACCTATAGATATAAGGCAAGTGCGTGATCAGGGCCGAATCTTTAAAAGCCCCCTCCCTCCCACAAAATATTGATAAACATAATTTCTTTTTCTATTACTGCTACATCTTCGTGTGTCCCAGTAACGGGATTCCTAATCATTTTTGTATGAGAGTAACACCAATCCCATGTTTTAACATCATGTTTTTCTCTACATATCCTAAATTCTCGTTTCCTTTTTGTATCTAATCCTTGTATTAGCCTCACATTACTTTAACATCTTTTTATCCTATACATAAGTAATGTCCCACCGGCTGTTCTGTAAAGCCTTGGGAGGTAGGAAATCTCAAATCGGAGAAAAACTGATAAAGCACACCAGAAAAATTCGAAGATATCTAAATTGGAACAGCCAGGACCCTTAGATACTACTTCTGGCAAAAATTTGCAACAGTTTTTTTACCCGAAAACCGATCAAGCAATTGAAAATATATTTTGTTTTGTAGTTTTCATCTCGAAAGCTAGCGAATATCTGTTTCTATCTATTTACCAGCTGGCACAACCAGGTTTTCTATGGTGATATCATTACAAGAGGATTTAATTGCGTCAAGTTCGTCTATTGACTTTCCCGTTAAAGTGCACGATGTCGCCCTGTTCGAGGGATCACTAAAAACTGTTGCGGAAGTTATTTCTGATGCTGCAACAGCTACCACACCCAAACCAATTAATATTTTGATTATCTACTTCATAATTATTGTAACGTGGCAGAAGTCAGTATTTAATTAGACGACCTCTAAAAAAGTTATGGTAAAATAAAAGATAAATTGAAGGGTATGATAAGTAATTCTCTATTATTTCAATCATACATAAGTGTTTGTTCAGTGTCGCTAATGTAAAATGTACATAAAACATAGAACGATTTACAGTTTGGTTTCTCGGCTTTTACAGTTTTTCTAAATAGTTATTCAAGGAATGTATCACAAGAANAGGTTTTCTATGGTGATATCTTTACAAGAGGATTTAATTGCGTCAAGTCCGTCTATTGACTTTCCCGTTAAAGTGCACGATGTCGCCCTGTTCGAGGGATCACTAAAAACTGTTGCGGAAGTTATTTCTGATGCTGCAACAGCTACCACACCCAAACCAATTAATATTTTGATTATCTACTTCATAATTATTGTAACGTGGCAGAAGTCAGTATTTAATTAGACGACCTCTAAAAAAGTTATGGTAAAATAAAAGATAAATTGAAGGGTATGATAAGTAATTCTCTATTATTTCAATCATACATAAGTGTTTGTTCAGTGTCGCTAATGTAAAATGTACATAAAACATAGAACGATTTACAGTTTGGTTTCTCGGCTTTTACAGTTTTTCTAAATAGTTATTCAAGGAATGTATCACAAGAAATTAACTACAATCAAATTTAGTAAAAACACTTATGATTCAAAATAAGAAACGACAAGAGAAATATGTCCAGCTACATACCTTATTCAAAAATCGGTTATAAATCCGAACCTATTAGATATTACTGCATGAATCATCCACTGATTTAATGTACAGTTATTTACCCAATATGTATTAAAAACAAAATTTTTGAGTGTTGTTTACGAAAAACTTTAAGATTATGATATAATCAATGCATTGTTCTGCTAATTGTCTTGTGTTATCAATCGCATGATATGGAACGGCCCGAACCGGCAAAAATGTGCAACAGTTTTTTGCCCGCAAAATCGATAAATCTTTTGAAAATTTATTTTTTAAGTTGCGGAATTATCTTTTGCAGTTTTCATCTCAAAAGCTCGCGAAAATCTTTTAAATATGTAGCAAAAGAAAGCAATTATTTTACATGGGACAACTTATGACTAAACCCACTCCTCAAATCTGTGATGAGCAAAATTGGTCTTGCGAAAACGCAAGACCAATACTCTTTTTATACTGGCAAGACCAAAACCAAAACCTAAAGAACAACATCAACACCAAAACTAAGACCAAATATGCAAGATGAAACGAAAAATTATTACTTTCGGTAGATTTATGAGTTAAACTATTTGAAGCAACAAACTATCTGTGTAAGTTTTTACCACAGGGGGTTCTAGTATTATTTTACAACAGTTAAAATTTTGCTTAATGTCCATTATCCTTGCTTCGGATCAATGTTCTTTGTTGCTTGCTCCATTGCTACTGGTTGATAGTGTAAAAACACTTGATTGCTTATCTCTATTTCCCTAAACTAAAAATATATATACTAGAGTGTTGAAATCACTAGGTAAGGCGTACATTTAAAAAGATTAATTATAAAATTAAAAACAACACTATTCATTATTCATATTTAATGACAAACAAAATGGTTTACAATAACAGTTAATGTACACCATTAAGTTGAAGGTAAAGAATTTTCCTTAAGCACAAAAAACATCAGTATTTGGAGGTAGTTGTTGGCATGTTCTATTCCTTCTTCCACCCGTAATACTCACATTGCTCCAATGCCAATTTTGTGCGACACCTTCGCCAAGCAGAATATAAATATTGGTACCTCTTGGTTGAACTGTGCCATGTACGTTTGTTATTCTAACGTTACGGATTGGAATGCCGTTGCTAGGAGTACCTGTGGGACCAGGCATGTTCCTATAATCGCCTCGCACCACAATTCCATAATCCCTTATTTTGCTTAAGGTAATGTTATCATAAGTAACACCGGAAACTAATCCAGTAGCATTAACGACCGTTTTTATTCGAATTCCATTTTCTGAATTCGCTACAGTGCAATGGGTAAAGTAAACGTTTTCAACGAGATTATTTGTTCTGTTACCGACTGACCCAATTGATATCCCGTGACCACCAGAACATGAAGCGCGTGAAAAGTGAATGTTTTTTCCGGATCTAACGGCTATACAGTCGTCCTGATTTTGTACAACAGTGTCGCTAATGAAAACGTTTTCGGAACCTTTAACGTTAATTGCATCGGTATTGTGACCTCCTCGGGTATCTCCATCTTTAGTATTCATAACTACATTATTTACGGTTATATTTGTACAGTTGTGAATGGCGAAACAATGACGTGGTGAATTGAGAAAATTTATATGGTTCACAACTGCGTTGTGCAAATATCTAATTTTGAAAAATCTTGGTTTTCGAACACCACCGTTACTACCAAGATTGTCCCACCATCTCGCACCCTGACCATCGAAGACGTGTCCTCTTTCACCTGTTATATTTATATTAGTACCACTTATCAATACCAAGGGACCTTTCCATTCTGCGTATCCGAAAGAAATGTTTCCTTTAAACGTTATCGACACATCCGATAAGCCAGTTAAATCTAATGTTTTACCAGCTGGTACAGCCAGGTTTTCTATGGTGATATCATTACAAGAGGATTTAATTGCGTCAAGTTCGTCTATTGAATTTCCCGTTAAAGTGCACGATGTCGCCCTGTTCAAAGGACCACTGAAAAATGTTGCGGAAGTTATTTCCGATGCTGCAACAGCTACCACACCCAAACCAATTAATATTTTAAGTATCAACTTCATAATTATTGGAAGATGGCAACAGTCAGTATTTAAATAGTGGACCTCTAAAAAAGTTATGGTAAAATAAAAGATAAATTGAAGGGTATGATAAGTAATTCTCTATTATTTCAATCATACATAAGTGTTTGTTCAGTGTCGCTAATGTAAAATGTACATAAAACATAGAACGATTTACAGTCGTTAAAAAATTTCCGCGACATTTTGCCTA